TTACTGTTCAAGTGGAGGACTGCCAGGTTGAAATGTGTGTGTGTTCTCGAATAGGCTGCTTTGTGTGGTGGAAAAAGCATTGTGGAGTCAGGCAGGTTTCCACCCACTACAGCACCAGGCTGAGTTGTCTGACCCTGGGTGAGTCACTGTATTTCTTTAAATCTCAGGTTTACAACTGTAAAAAAGGGATAATTACCCTTCACAGGGTTGTTGCACACATAAAGTGAGGAAGCCCAAAGAAGAGCTTGGTACATAACCTGTACTTTTTTCCACCCCCCTCCAGTAGTCCTAGAATCTTTTGAATTACTAGTGTTTAATGTCCCTCTCCTCACCTTTGTAGGAGTGGGTTGGTGGAGCTTTCACTAAGGTGTTACCAGATAAAGTCCTTTGGAAGTGTAGAAATTCTTTTCAGTATATGCCTATGAGCAGTTTTCTTAGGAGTACGTTCATGGCTGTCTTTATATTCTTAAGTCCTTGATCACTTCCCCTTTCACATTCACTACAGTGTATAATAATAATAATTATAATAACATTTATTATATTATAATGTTATATAATGATTATATAGTAATCTGGCCAAATTGTGTGTGCCTTACAGTAGAGCCAGTTAAAAAAGATAAATTTCAGCCTTTTGATCATTTGGTCTTTGATGCTACATTAAGCCTTTCAGCTTTATTTTCAAATATAATTGTATTTTTAAAAAACTTTTCTCTGGAAGAAAATGTAAAATATAAAAATTTAAGATGTATATAAAATTAAAATGAGATGATTATAATACAGAAGGTTTTTTTTTTTTTTTACAAAGTGGACCTTAAATTTTTCATTATGAAGGAAAAAAAGATTTAGTAGGGATTCTTTGATAATATGCTTTACTAGTGCATCATGTATTTGAGCTAAAATAATTTTATTTATAAGGAAACTTTTAGGAGCACATCTCTAACATAATTGGAGTTATACCTGCATTTATTTACCTAAGTACATTTTTGATGTGTTTATCTGTAATAACAATATTTGAGTATCTGTTATGGGAAGGGGCTATGATACTTCCCAACCCCTTCGCTAGAGAAGTGTTCATCTGTCAGTCTGGGAGGTACCATAGTCTAGTGGTTATGAGTTGTGTGGAACCAGACTGCCTGGATTTCAAATTCTAGTCACTCAGTACTGTGTGACCTTGGTCAGGATACCTGCCCTGAGTTCTAAGTTTCCACATCTAAAATATTTGTTTACTATAATATTTGTTTAATATTATCTGACTCACAAGGTGTTAGGGGAATTAAATGAGTTGATATTTGACAAGCTCTTAGACTATTGCTCATTTTATTGTAAGTACTATGAAAGTGTTAAACAAGAATATGAAATATAATAAACAGAATGCTTATATTCATGAAAAGATAACTTACAGTATAAGACAACATATCCTTTATATTACAGTTCAGGTCCCATAAAATTCTTCAGAATAGAGAAATTTTGTATGGATTGTATAAATAGTGGATGAAAAATTTAAAAATCCGAAGAAAAAGAGTATAGGTCATGTACTGGATTTGTATAGGTGGAATTCTGACAGAGAATAAAAAATAGGCCCAAACTGGAGGGTATTTTATGAAGAAACAGAAGGAATATAAACAGACCACGTAAATTGAAGAGTAAGTAGTAAAATACTGGAAGCTATCTTAGGAAGAAAGATGTGGATAAATTGGTGTAGAGTTGTTTGGATACAAAGATAAGGCTTTGGGATTTTTATTTGTAGATGTTGGCTTTCCAAAATTTACAAAGGAGAAACTTATGACTTTATAAAAAGTGACTAACAGAGTACTTGACAGAAAGCAAATATTCAATAAATGTTAGTATTTAGCAGAAGTAGCAGAAATGATTGTAGTGTTCACTGAATGGATGTGTTGTATTTGTGTACTATAAATTACCTGTGACGAACATTAGGTTATTTCATTGTTTTTTTTTTTCCTCCCCTGTCTTTATAATCAATGCTACAAACAACACCTTTTCCGTCATGAGCACATGTTCCATAAAATTGTTTTGTATAACTGTGGTTCCTAAGGAGAAACTTTATATTGTCCTTTTAGTTTACCATTCACTTTATATTGTCCTTTTAGTTTACCATGGAATGGTGGTCTTAAATTTCAGAGGTGACATTAGAAAAGAAATTAGGGACCTTTACCAGTTCTAATGCACTGCCCCCTGCTGAGGAATATCCACAACATTCATGACAAAAAGGTCATTGTCAGAAGAGATGCTGTTCATGCATACTTTTAAAAATGGTAACTTATTAGGGAAAAATAATATTAAAAAGTAATCAAGGAGGCTTTGGGAAGATAATTTGTCATGCATAGCAAGGTATGAGGTAAGACCATAGGTATTTACATTATGACATGCTGTGGTGGTCATAGAACCCAGAAAAATATGAAGACAAGACTTGGGAGGTTTTGGGGAAATATGATTGACAAGGGAGGGAGAAGATATTTCTAAGGGTCTAAACCTAAGTGAAACCAGGCACAGTTGTGTGTGTCTATAGTCCCAGGTACTTGAGGGGAATCACTCAAGCCCAGAAAGTTGACATCAACCTGGGCAACATAGTGAGACCTGCCTCACAAAAACACACACTAAATAACTAACCCTTAGTGACTTGGAGAAGGTGATCAAAGAACTAAAGTTGGAATATAGAAAGCCAGTTTTGGAGGGAAGATTAGTTTAGTTTTAGATATGTTTGAAAAGAGTAGTTCACTCCAGGACTGGAAGTGTGACTCAAGTGGTAAGAGCACCTATCTAGCAAGTATGAGGCCCTGAGTTCAAACCCCAGTGCCACCAAAAAAAAAAAGTTCCCTCTGATCTTTTCATTAAATACTTGAATAGGATTCAGATTTTGAGTTTCTTCTATACAGCATTGATAATGAAACCATGATTGCATTCAAATAAACTCTACAACTAGCTAGTAAGTAGTAAAACTGAGACTCAAATCCTATGTTTGTATTCTTAGTTCCTGTTGCCATAATGAGTGGGAGAAATCCTTTATTCACATTTGTTGTCCTAACAAATACACAGCGTTCTCATTTTCCAAGTTCTTTCTTTTGTTATTTTGTCATTTATCTTTTTGTTCTTGTCTATATAGTCTTTATTTCATTTAATAAAATATCTGGAGTAGTAGTGCTTGGACCTTGAAAGCATATATTCCTAGGTTTGTCCCAACTTACTTCTCTGTCTTACCCTTCCTCTGCATTTTTTTCTATATTCATACACAGACAAATATTTCCACATAGCTCTAAACTCAGCTCTCTCTTCCTTTTTTAAGCATATCAGCTATCTCTGGATTTGGAGTATATTTCTTCTTGAATAACTGTTTTGTTTTGTTTGAGACAGGGTCTTTTTTTATGTAACCTAGTCTAGCTTTGAACTTGGGATCCTCCTGCATCAGCCTCCTGAGTGCTGGGATTACAGTTGTTCATTGCCATGTCCAGCTTCTCTTCGATAACTCTTGATTTTCTGTTTTTTCTTTTCTGTCTTCATGGTCTTAGTTAAGTTTGTTGTTCTTTTCAACTTTGTAGTGGAGTCCTGTTTCCTAGATCTAGTGCTGTCCTTGCCAATTGAACCTCTACTCCTATCCCAGAGTCATTCCCTTAAAATACTACTGATCTGTTTCCCCAAGCCTTAAAACTCTTCAGTGATTCTCCACTGTCAACAGTACTGTTTCTTAGCAGTTACTTCTTAGAATGAATTAGGCATTTCTCTAGAGAAAAAGAGGTTCAGTATTATATACAAGAAACTCAGGGAAGGAAGTCAAATGATTTGGAGGAATGCTTATGTAAATGCAGGTAACCAGCCTTCTTTTAGAATTAATATGTGAATGTGCATTATGAACCTGTAAAGAGCAGTATGAACCATTTCCCAGATATACCTGACCTGTGTATGTGTGTGTGTGTGTGTGTGTGTGTGTGTGTTTATACATGTATAAACATATACATTCATTTTCAGTGTTTTGGAAGGGGTTTTACTAAGACTTACAAGGTAAATCCTAGGATCTTTGTTATTCAGCTTTTGTCTATGTTGTCTTATTCTTCTATTAACTATTCTAACTTGGAGGTCCCTTTGGGGTAGAGTCATGTGCTTCAGGCTTCAATGGCTTTACCCATCTCATAGAAAAACGTCCTACTAGTCCACTCCTAAAGGGGATATCATTCATTACCTTCTCTGAAGCCTTCTTTAACGCATCCAGGCTCGCGTTTACTAAACTTCCTTTCTCAATACTCTCCTTTCAGTGTATTTGGCAATACCCTTCACTTTAGCTATTACCACATAGAATTGTAATTCATCCTACATTTTAAATTTTCCAATGGAGTACAAGTTCCTTGAAGGCTGGAACCATTAGTACTTAGGATAATTATTGGCTAACATGCTAAACAATTAAATTCTATATAAATGCAGAATCATTTTGAATAATACTGGTAATATAGTAAGTAAACCACCAATAAATATCTCTTATGTTTTAGAAATCTCTTAGACTCTTTGTTTCTGTAAGTAAGAGATCAAATTAAATGCTTTAGGAAAAACTTTGTTTCACATATATGGGGGAAAAACTTAAGAAAAAGTACTTAACCATTTCTTTGTGTGTGTGTGTGTGTGTGTGTGTGTGTGTGTGTGTGTGTTTCTGTAGTGCTGGGGATTGAACCCAGGCCCTTGTGCATGCCAGGCAAATGCTCTACCAATGAGCTACATTCTCAGCTTTTCTTGTATTTTTAATAACTTGTGTTCATAAACTAAGATAGTGTTTTTCTTAGGTAAGAATGTAAATAATGTTCTATCTTTAATGAAAGTATCCAGTCATGAATTAAAAATTCACTGATTACTTTTTCTCTCAGATAACCATGGTTGTGCATTGAGATGATTTATTCATGTGTAGTTGTTAGGATGAGGGACATTATTTATATGAAACATTATTTTATATGAAATATTTTATATGAAACATTGTTTAATGTTTATTTCCCTTTTCTTAGGCATCTTTCTTAACAAAGAAGCTCAATATTGGTGGGAAAAGAGTAAACCTTGCCATATGGGTAAGTTAACCTTTTCAGAAGTATTTTAAAAACTAATTGGCTCAAAGAGTAGGAATCTGCATTTTAAAGATTAACTGTAGCCCAAACTATTTTTTTTTAAATTTAAAAATTCCTATAATCTAATTTGAATCTTGCTGTCGTCATAATTTTACAGCCACAAAATGGCCAACTCAGGGATTCCATTTTAAAGAGAGGACAGGGTAAATAGGCTAGTGTGCCTTGCTCCTCCCTCTTTATGTGCTAATGGTCACATAAGGGAGTGACCATTGAAGAGCAGGGCAAGGGTAATGTAATAGGGTACCTGTTAATGGGTGGTCCTGGTGCATGCTCTCTTTTGTCTCTACTCCCTGTGTGGGGAACCCAAATTTAGGTCAGGTCCTATTTCTGGTTTACAGTGCAGTGTTAGCCATTTTGATCCTTCAGCAACTAATTTGTTTTTTTGTGTGTTTTTTTTTTTTTTTTTTTTTAAGTGGCTGTGGGAATGGGAAGATTGTTGAGAAGGAGAGCTGGGAGGGAGAAGTAACCTTTGTGTAAAAGTAAAACAATGTATATTGCTTATAACATGACTTAAAAGCTTTGTAACCTGTTTTGTTTCTTTTAATAAATGTTTTAGAGTTATCTGTGACTATACCCTGTTTTCCAGTTAATCAAAAGTTCATTGTAGTTACAATATTAGACATGTTTTTTCTTCTGATCTAATAAGCATTTATTATTTTATTTAGGATACAGCAGGTCAAGAGAGATTCCATGCATTGGGTCCAATCTACTACAGAGATTCAAACGGAGCTATTTTAGTTTATGATATAACAGATGAAGATTCATTTCAGAAGGTATTCTGTTTACTTTTTGGGGTAGATGACTTAATCAGAAGAATACTGATTTTTTAAGTCTCCATGAGTATGCTTTTGTTCACTAATACAATTAGTTTTTTAAAAATGTTCAAATAGTAAATGTATAGTTTGTACAGAAAATGACCACTTTTTTATTGAAGTATTTAATTCATGTTAATTAGAGTAATAATAGTTTATTCAAATATTAGGAAAGGGAAATAATTGAACTTAATGTAGGGACTTTGTTTCTTCCTCTTCACATACATTAATTTGATTCCATACACATTGGGCCCCTGGAAACTTGGTTTGGCTGTATGAACTCCCTCATTGTGAAGAGAAAAAAGGAAGAGCAAAGTTAAGTTTAAACTCTTTCTTCTCACTAAACATCTTGGAGAACATAATACAAAATTTAAACGGACACTGTAGGTAGTATTTATTTAAAGTCCCCCTTTTTAAAACTTCTCAGACTTACACAGCAAATATAGGATTTATTTTTGGTGGTACTGGGGTTTGAACTCAGGGCCCCACACTTAACTAGGCAGCTACTTTATCACTTGAGCCACTTCACCAGCCCCAAATGCAGGATTTTTAAAGTTATTTTGGACTGCCCAAATATGGTGGCATATGACTATCATTCCAGCTACTTGGGATACAGAGATCAAGAGGATCATGGTTCAAGGCCAGCCTGGATAAAAAGTAATGAGACTCATTTTAACAAACAAGTCAGACCCTATGCATGTAATCCCAGCTACACAGAAGGCACAGGTACAAGGATTGTGGTCTAGTACAGCCAAGGCAAAAAACAGGCAGAGCTGGTGGTCTGACTTAAGTGGTTATGTGCCTGCCTAGCAAACACAAGACCCTGAGTTCAAACCTTAGCACCACACTAAATAAATAAATAAGTCAGTGATATGTAACAAAAGTAGGTAATTTTTTTTTTCCATTTTTCTTTTATTATTCATATGTGCATACAAGGCTTGGTTCATTTCTCCCCCCTGCCCCCACCCCCTCCCTTACCACCCACTCCGCCCCCTCCCTCTCACCCCCCCTCAATACCCAGCAGAAACTATTTTGCCCTTATTTCTAATTTTGTTGTAGAGAGAGTATAAGCAATAATAGGAAGGAACAAGGGTTTTTGCTGGTTGAGATAAGGATAGCTATACAGGGCATTGACTCACATTGATTTCCTGTGCGTGGGTGTTACCTTCTAGGTTAATTCTCTTTGATCTAACCTTTTCTTTAGTACCTGTTCCCCTTTTCCTATTGGCCTCAGTTGCTTTAAGGTATCTGCTTTAGTTTCTCTGCGTTAAGGGCAACAAATGCTAGCTAGTTTTTTAGGTGTCTTACCTATCCTCACCCCTTCCTTGTGTGCTCTCGCTTTTATCATGTGCTCATAGTCCAATCCCCTTGTTGTGTTTGCCCTTGATCTAATGTCCACATATGAGGGAGAACATACGATTTTTGGTTGTTTGAACCAGGCTAACCTCACTCAGAATGATGTTCTCCAATTCCATCCATTTACCAGCGAATGATAACATTTCATTCTTTTTCATGGCTGCATAAAATTCCATTGTGTATAGATACCACATTTTCTTAATCCATTCGTCAGTGCTGGGGCATCTTGGTTGTTTCCATAACTTGGCTATTGTGAACAGTGTCGCAATAAACATGGTTGTGCAGGTGCCTCTGGAGTAACAGTCTTTTGGGTATATCCCCAAGAGTGGTATTGCTGGATCAAGTGGTAGATCGATGTCCAGCTTTTTAAGTAGCCTCCAAATTTTTTTCCAGAGTGGTTGTACTAGTCTACATTCCCACCAACAGTGTAAGAGGGTTCCTTTTTCCCCGCATCCTCGCCAACACCTGTTGTTGGTGGTGTTGCTGATGATGGCTATTCTAACAGGGGTGAGGTGGAATCTTAGTGTGGTTTTAATTTGCATTTCCTTTATTGCTAGAGATGGTGAGCATTTTTTCATGTGTTTTTTGGCCATTTGAATTTCTTCTTTTGAGAAAGTTCTGTTTAGTTCACATGCCCATTTCTTTATTGGTTCATTAGTTTTGGGAGAATTTAGTTTTTTAAGTTCCCTGTATATTCTGGTTATCAGTCCTTTGTCTGATGTATAGTTGGCAAATATTTTCTCCCACTCTGTGGGTGTTCTCTTCAGTTTAGAGACCATTTCTTTTGTTGAGCAGAAGCTTTTTAGTTTTATGAGTCCCATTTATCTATGCTATCTCTTAGTTGCTGTGCTGCTGGGGTTTCATTGAGAAAGTTCTTACCTATACCTACTAACTCCAGAGTATTTCCTACTCTTTCTTGTATCAACTTAAGAGTTTGTGGTCTGATATTAAGATCCTTGATCCATTTTGAGTTAATCTTGGTATAGGGTGATATACATGGATCTAGTTTCAGTTTTTTGCAGACTGCTAACCAGTTTTCCCAGCAGTTTTTGTTGAAGAGGCTGCTATTTCTCCATCGTATATTTTTAGCTCCTTTGTCAAAGATAAGTTGCTTATAGTTGTGTGGCTTCATATCTGGGTCCTCTATTCTGTTCCACTGGTCTTCATGTCTGTTTTTGTGCCAGTACCATGCTGTTTTTATTGTTATTGCTTTGTAATATAGTTTGAAGTCAGGTATTGTGATACCTCCTGCATTGTTCTTTTGACTGAGTATTGCCTTGGCTATTCGTGGCCTCTTGTGTTTCCATATAAATTTAACAGTAGATTTTTCAATCTCTTTAATGAATGTCGTTGGAATTTTGATGGGAATTGCATTAAACATGTAGATTACTTTGGGTAGTATCGACATTTTTACTATGTTGATTCTACCAATCCATGAGCATGGGAGATCTCTCCACTTTCTATAGTCTTCCTCAATCTCTTTCTTCAGAAGTGTATAGTTTTCCTTGTAGAGGTCTTTCACATCTTTTGTTAGGTTTACACTTAGGTATTTGATTTTTTTGAGGCTATTGTAAATGGAATTGTTTTCATACATTCTTTTTCCGTTTGCTCATTGTTAGTGTATAGAAATGCTAATGATTTTTCTATGTTGATTTTATATCCTGCTACCTTGCTATAGCTATTGATGATGTCTAGAAGCTTCTGAGTAGAGTTTTTTGGGTCTTTAAGGTATAGGATCATGTCGTCTGCAAATAGGGATATTTTGACAGTTTCTTTACCTATTTGTATTCCTTTTATTCCTTCTTCTTGCCTAATTGCTCTGGCTAGGAATTCCAGTACTATGTTGAATAGGAGTGGAGATAGTGGGCATCCTTGTCTGGTTCCTGATTTTAGAGGGAATGGTTTTAATTTTTCTTCGTTAAGTATAATGCTGGCTGTAGGTTTGTCATATATAAAAGTAGGTAATTTTTAAGACAAGTTTTTCTTATAAAAGTTTGTTCTTACTGAAATTACTGTTTTAGTTTTTATTATTTTTTTTCCTCTTCATTTTTTTCCCAATTAAATCTAATGGAGCATATATGCAAGTTACCTCTTAGATTTTTTATTTATTTATTTATTTTTTTTGGTGGACTGGAGTTTCAACTCAGGGCTTTGCACTTGCAAAGCAAGCACTCTGCCAGTTGAGTTACACATGCAGTTTATTTTGCTGTGGTTGTTGTGGAGATGAGATCTTGCAAACTATTTTCCCATGCTGGCCACAGACTGTGATCCTCCCGATCTCACCCTCCCAAATAACTAGGATTATAGGCATGTGCCATAGGTTCCTGGCTCAATCTTAGATTATAAACAAGGGTAAACAGTCCAAGGAGTAGGAAAATATAACAATAAGTAGCTTCCAATTTATGAATTTTTTTTTTTTTTTTTGCAGTACTGGGATTTGAAGTCAGGATCTACACCTTAAGCCACTCCACCAGCACTTTTTTGTAATTGGTGTTTTCAAAATAGGCTTTCATGAACTGTTTGTCCCGGATTGGCTTCAAACTGCGATCCTCCTAATCTCTGTTTCCTGAGTGACTAGGATTACAGGCAAGAGCGTGGTGCCCTGCCAATTTATGATTTTTGAAAGTTATTTTGGGGCTGATGCTATTATCATTTCCTGTCTTTTGCATAAAAAGAAATGGCTTAAAAAGGTTGAAAAGTGACCAGTTACTATACTACAACAAAATTTAGTGGTTTACAAGGGACGGCTTATGTTTTCTTGTGGAGTCACTCAATTTGAGTGGGCCTGGAAAGTTCACAAAGGCCTGATTCTTCTTATGGCCTCTTGATGATTCTTTCCTCATTCTGTCATAATTCTGTATTTGAACCCAGGTTTTTTATGTGACAATTGGATTCCTATAAAAGTAGAAGATGGCAGACCTTTTTAACTGTTGTCTGGAACTGACACGGCATTTCTGCTGCTACATTCTGTTGATCAGAGCAAGTTACAAAGGCCAGCCAAAACTGAAAAAGGTTGAGGAATTTGACTACCACTTGATGGAAGAGAATCTACACCAACTGTAACTCACCACAAAATATATGTGTGTATTAGAATGTCCATGGAGATGAGAATCCAATTAGAGATAAATACAGTTGTTTGGGACCAAATAAAACTTGGTTAGATTAGTAGGCTGTTGTATTATAGGTATAGGGAGTAGAATAATACAGAATAGAGTTGTGGTGTTTCTTTTGAGGTGATGAAGAGGTACATTTTATACCAGTACTATTATTTGTTTCTTAATGTGATATCAACTAATTTTAAAGCTTTGAAAACTTTATACATATATGTGAATGAAATAAAAAGGTAAAGCTGCACTGAGAAAACTGTGGTTCAGTCCATTATAAAGTGATGGCTAGGCACTGGTAGCTCACGCCTGTAATCCTAGCTACTTGGGAGGCAAAGATCAGGAGGATCATGGTTCAAAGCCAGCCCAGGCAAATAGTTTGGAAGACCCTATCTTGAAAAAACCCATCACAAAAAAGAGCCTGTGGAGTGGTTCAATGTGTAATTCAAACCCCAGTACCACCAAAACAAAAGAATAAGGTGGTAATAATCACCTTTGCTTTTACAGGACTTGGGGTTTACTAAAAACAGTTCCTCTGCTTTCTTGCTGAGAATAGAACTGTGGCACTGTTAGATTTATACAGTAGGGCCAGATGCACAGTAAGTGCTTGCCACATACCTAATGTAATTTTTGTAATTTATAGAGGTGTATGTATTTTCAAGGAAGGCATTTAAGTTCTCAGAGCTTTGATTTCATGTAGTTTAAATTTCATTATAAGAAATTAAAGTAAGTCTCCTGGTGTGTTCTTTATCCTGCTATCTTATTGCAATTCTGTTGTTTTATTGTATTGTAATATTTAAAAGCATAAATTCAAAAGATTAACTTGCTTAATTTCAGTTTACTTCCAGCTGTGTCCACTGTTATACTTCGTCCATAGTGGAATCAGTTTGTTACTGAGCTATCGTGTACCAGTGGTTCTCTACCAAGGGATGGCAATGTCTGTAGACATCTTTGGTTGTCATCACTGGGACGATGCTATTGGCATCTAGTGGGTGGGCCAGGGATGCTGCTGAGCATCACATTTTGCACAGACTGACCTCACAGCAAAGAATTATCTCAACCAAAATATCAGTAGTACCAATACTGAGAAATACTATTTAGGAACCAATTAGACTACTGAATAGAATATTAAAGTATTTTTTAAGCCCATGTTTTCCTAAGTCTAAAGTGGCTCTGTATCAATCATCTATTATGAGAAGCTGGACTAGACATGTTTTTGTTGTGTAAAACAAAAAAAAATCTATGGAAAATGCATCTATATGTACTCATGTATCAATGTAAAGATCTTACCATGTATTTATGTGGTTTGCAATATAAACTGGTAGTAAATGATCCTTTAGTGAATCAGTCCTAGTAATAAATATATGGATTATCAGATAAAATCCTGAGATATTTTGACAATGTTAAATTGTTACATATTGTAATTAATTCCAACAGGATTTGTTTTAATACTTGCTTTTTTGTATATACAGGTAAAAAACTGGGTCAAAGAATTAAGGAAAATGTTGGGAAATGAAATTTGTTTATGTATAGTTGGTAAGTATTATTAGTTTTGTTTTTTTTTTAATCTCCTCTGTTTCTTTAGTATTTTATTAAAGACATAGTAAGCAAGTAATTTTTTTTTTTTTTAACGTGGTATGAGAGGACTGGGAATATAGCTCAATGGTAGAGCAGTTGCCTAACAACTGATATGAGAAAGGAGTGATTATGTCATTTTAATACTAATGCTTAGAATAATTTAGAATTTGGAAGTGATTTTTCCAGGAGGCTCACACAAAGAATGCCTTAGGGAACTACTGGGAACCTAAACATGAGGCTTCAGGTTCACCATGCTTGCTTCAGTTAACCTTTACTTTTGTTCAACATTTTGTTTTAATAAAAGAGGTTAGGGACTATTTTAAAGTAAAATTGAAGCCAGTGTTTTTGCTCAACTATATACATTTTTGATTTGAGAAAAATTTGACTTCAAAAATACAAGTAGGTCATTATCCTGAGGTAGTAAAGTGTCAATGAGTAAAATAAAAGCCCTCTAGAAGTCAGTTTTAGACTTCTAGAATTTCTCTTTGGTCCCTGTCTGCCTTCTTTATGTTCTGTGATTTGACAATTATTGAGCATTAAAAGTATACTAGAAAGTATGTTCTGCACTCAACAGATATTATGTCATGTAATCATCTTAACCCTAGGAGGGCTTTTTAGAAGAAGCTGAGTCCTGGACATAATTATTTGTCCAGTGCCAGGCAGCTGTCAGAGATGGGATTTGAATTGAAATCATCTGACAACTATGCTTCTCTTACTAGTCCTTGTGATGTACAGCCACAGTCTGTTTTTCTTTCTTTGTGACTGATAATAGTAAGAATGAATGTGGTGAAGCCAGGATAGTTTTAGCAGAGGATAAAGATGATATTTGGGGACATGAGATACTAGAATAATCAGCGTGGGGAATTCTGCTTTTAGCCAAGCAGATTTTTTTTAAAGCTTGAATTTATATTTTTGAATCTTGTCACCGGTAACTTTACAGTCCCATACAAAGGTACAAATCTGAGGGAAGAGGCAGAGGGATGATTCGCTCTGTTTCTCAGTCTAGATTCTAGGTGTTAGGCTAGAAAGCAGGAATATTTCAGACTAGAATACTGGAGTAATAGATAATATGGGAGTTTATGGCCGAAGGTACAGCTAATTGTTAGTGACAGCTAATCATCCTTGTGTGGTGGTAAGAGATTTATCAAGAGTCAGAGTGGCACAGTAGGTGAATGAGTAAAGATTTAATTTTTTGAGATTCTATTAGTTACCTTTCCAGAGAAAGTAATCTCTAACATATACATAAGAAACTCAAGCCTCAAGAGCTTGTTATTTTACAAAGGTTACAAATTAACATTTAAAAAAATTAACTGGTTTAAATAAACCTACGAATAGTTCACTTAAATTGTATATTTATCACGTTCATATGAGAAGGTTTAGAAATACTCAGTTTGGTAGATTACTGCCTCAAGTAGGGTCAAATATTCCTCATTTAATATGATGTAGCATTTACTTATGATGAACATGAAGTATAAAAAGCTCTCTCTTCTACTGGCAAGTGAGATGGAATTTTAGTTGGAACAGTTTTGAGAGCTCTTTTGCCATCACTCCTGAACTTTCCTATCATTAGAATAACCTGGAGAACTTAAAAAGATTTTAAAATGTGGCAGTGGGGCTTCTTTAGGATTCATATTAAATCAGAATCTCTATGCATAGGACAAGAAATTAGTTAATTCTCTCTTTTCACCTTCACCTTCTTTTCTTTTTTCCACAATTTTGTTTTTTTTTTGGGTGGGCGGGATTGGGGTTTGAACTCTTACCAGTTGAGCCCCACCTCTTCCACAAATATTTTTGAGTGGCTTCTTTGTACCAGGCACAATACTACAATTCTGATTTAGCCTGTGTGTACACTAGTGTTTCGGTACAACTAATCTAATCTGACACAATGCAAGAATGTCATCATGTTATTCTTGAAGACTTGTGGTAGGACTGGCAGCATGGCCCAAGTTGTAGAGTACCTGCCTAGAAAGCACAATACTCTAAATTCAAACTTTATTACCATCAAAAAAAACAAACAAAAAATGAGAGATAGAGAAAGAGACTTGTGGTAACTGTTCTTATAAGAAAGGTTATTGCAGTTTTTCCTAATTGCAATAGTTTTTTTGTTTGTTTGTTTTTCATATTTAGCTGATATCATATTCCCTATAACCTTCACTTAATTTTTTTATTTTTAAAAATTCTTTTAAAGTGAACTTTTCTGTTTTGAGACAGGGTCTTTCTTTGTTGTCTAGGCTGGCCTTGAACTCACTTTGTTGCCCTGGCTGGCCTCCTGCCTTCACCTCCCAAGTGCTGGGATTGTAGGCATCACACCCTGCTTAAAGTGAACTTTTTATTGAAATAGAACATATAAAGAAAAACATACAAGTATTCAATAACATTTTCACAAAATGAAATTTCACTGTCATCTGTGATGTTTTGAGGCCTCACCTGTGCTTCTTTCTTATCCTCAAAGTTCACCATCCCTTTTCCTTATCCTGACTTTCTGCATAAATAAGTTTTGTTGTGAATTTTATGTAAATGGAGTCACATTCTTGTGTCTAGTTCTTAGGCTTTACATTACATTTGCCACATTCCTGTGTACTGCTGTATGTGGTTGAAGTTTATTTTACTCTGTTTGCTCTCCAGTACTTCATGAATATTACCCATTTTGCTATTAGTGGACATTTGCACTACCTCTCGATTTTTACTTATAGTAGTTCAGTGTTCTCTCTTCTGCTTTATTACTAACTTTGAAATAATAGTACCTCATAGGATTGTACTAAAGATCACATAATGACAAAAAAACTTTGGTAGACGTAAACATTTGACAAGTATTTACATAAGACAATCCTTCATATGGTACCTCAGACATTTGAAACCTACTTGAATGGTTCACATACATTTATATTCCCTAGGTCTTTAGATGTTTTTATCTGACCTGCTTTCCAGACAGTCTCATCACCTGGTTCATATTTACCCTGGGTTTATTTCAGTGTATACTTGAAACTGAACGCTGAAATCCAGGTGTGTAGCCTGCGTATACCTGTAAGACCTCTCGCTTTCCTTCTGTCCTCCTTGCTTTCTCTCTTCCCACACTCCATCTGTCTAAACCTCCCTTCCTCCCCTACACCCCTTTTCTCTTGGCAGTGCTGGGGTTTGAACTCAGGGCCTTGAGTTTGCTAGGCTGGTGCCACACCTAGAGCCACACCCCCGCCCTTTTTCCTTTGGTTATTTTTGAGATAGGGTTTTGCTTTATGCCTGGGCTGAGCTTGAACAGGATCCTCCTATTTATGCTTCCTGCATAGCAGGGATGACAGGGATATACTACCATGCTCAGCTTTTATTGGTTGAGATGGGGTCTTGCTAACTGTCCTGGCTGGCCTTGAACTGTGACTACCCTGATCTCATCCTCCTGATGTCCACCTCTCAAGTAACTAGGATTACAGCTGTGAGCCACTGCTCCTGGCTCTCTCTTTTTTAAGAGACAGGGTTTCCCATATTCATGTTGCCCAGACAGCCCCAAACTTCTGGGCTCAAGTGGTCCTCCTGTATCAGCCTCCCAAGTACCTGGTACTACAGGATTATACCGCCACATCTAGTTTCTTTCTCACTCTCTCTTTTTTTTAATGTTCACTTTCCCTATCCTCACTCTTTTTGTAGATATTAATGATTCTGGTAGAATTTGAAAAACAAGGCATAAAAGACATAGAAAACATTCATAGGGTCTTAGTTAATTGAAGCAAATGCCTCCTTGCTATCTATAAGGAAGCTATTCTGTTTTACCTTGTGAGAAGCAGAATCTTGTACCTGTTTCTTTAGAGTTGCCTGCCACCAGATGGTACCTTTTGCATTATTTGTAAGATAAAACAACTTTTTTCCCTTGGTTACTATGAGATATATTAGCTGTAATATTTATCAGATTAAAGATTTTATTGACAAAATATAATGTATGAAGTCAAAATTAATATAGTCCTTTTGCTGAGGGAGACAGGTTCATTCTGACTTTCTTGGTATCCACTGGGCATTTTCCTACTTCCCGCCCTTTCTTTCTTAGACTATGTGGAAAAGTTGTTTCTAGCAGCTGCTAGCAATTGGGTGCTCATATTATTTGAGTTCTCAGTATACAGAATCTCTGGACTTGTACTTCTTAATGCTAAGCATTGTATCTTTCATTGGGTGGTTACTTCAATGCTTTATCTGAAATTTATGTAAAATTGTCTTGTAAACTCCATAAGGGACTTACAAAAAAATGGTCTTAATTATAAGGTTTTTTTTTTTAATTTGGCCTTAAAGTCAGAATAAAAGAAATGAAAATATTTGTTGGAAATGTCCTTCCTTAGATTATTTTTTTCCCCATTCTTGTTTCTGTTACCTTTAGCACTCTGGTCCAACCAGTTCACCTTAGCTTCTGTCTAGTACTCAGTAAGGAATCTGGTTTGTTTTGTTTTTTTCCTGTGGTGGGATTTGAACTTAGGCCCTATACCTTGAGCCACTCCACCAGCCCTTTTTTTGTGTGTGTGTATGTGATGGATTTTTTTCAAGATAGGGTCTTGAGAACTATTTGCCCAGGCTGGCTTTGAGCAGTGAGTCTTCTGATCTCTGCCTTCTGAGTAGCCAGGATTATAGGCGTGAGCCTCCGGTGCCTGGGTGAAATCTCTGTTTTGCAGTATCTTCATTTTAGTTCTGGGGGCTTTTTAGTATAATCTTGGCTTGGCTCCATTGGTTAAGGAGAGCTAAACTTATTTTCAATCTGCATGATATGCATATATTAAATTCTAATAAGAAGTCACCAACATTGTTTCTTAAATAAACAGTACAGTTTTTCTCACTGTGGTGGAGAAGCACTTTATAACCTATATATTTTAATTATTACTTTATCTTGTTTATGTTATCCAGGAAACCAGAATACTCTAATAAGAATCTAACCCAGTATATTTTAGAAAACCATAAGATAGCCATGCTTAATTACTGACTGATTCTAAGTCAGTTGGAGAATACAGAACAATTTTGTTTTTTATCCATTTTTGCTTAACTAACAGTCCTAGGTTTATCCCTAGATTCCCTAGGGATTCTTACTCCCTGGTATAATTCTATATCAAAGAACAGTGCCCATTTCTGGAAAAGTTGATTCCTCTTACAGAGGCTGAAAATTCATGAGGGATATACATTGATTCATTTGCAAAACATTCACCTTGACAGTCATGAACAGCCTTCACATCATAGAGGTTAACCTTATAGTTTTCAGACATTTAGAAGTCTGATGGGAATTTGTATTATTTTTTCAGATAATTAAAATGACTATTAAGTATTAAGAACTGGCTTAATTTTATTATAAAAATGAATCAATATTTACTTTTTTTCAAATTAGGTAATAAAATAGACTTGGAAAAGGAGAGACATGTTTCTGTTCAAGAAGCAGAATCGTAAGTGTCATGTTTCCTACCCCACCCACACCCCTCTACCCCCTAGTAGAAGTCTTCCTCTGTACGGTATGCTTTACCATTTAGGCTTGACTCAAATTTCTTAAGGTGGATTGAACTACTGAATTCAGTGGAGCATGTTTACATTGGTAATTTCTGGACTTCTGGTGACATTTAAAGATACTTCACTTCCTTTTTTTGATTTTAGTAAAAAAATACAAGAATGATGTAGAAGAAAACTTAGGATCAAATGGCAGTGAATCACAAAAGCTTTTAAGGAATTCAGGTTTCAAGTTACTGTAAAAAATTTCAAGTCCTGTTAAATTTGTGTTATTTATGGACAGTTTATGGACAGTTTAAATTTTACTAAACTTGGTTAAAGTCATTAAGTCATTAAAGGTAAGTTAATAAGTCACTAAAATTGCTATTACAAAAATCATGTGTGCTTTATGTCAATCACTGATGTTTTTCTTTTTAAGATATGCAGAATCTGTGGGAGCAAAACATTATCATACTTCAGCCAAACAAAACAAAGGAATTGAGGAGCTCTTTCTTGACCTTTGTAAAAGTAGGTACATTCAGATTTAGTATGTTTTAAAATGGCTTTTTGTAAATTGCTAATAATGTTTCTAGTGACATTTTATCACTTTCCTTTAACGACTGCATTGATAATTTATTTACTTGATATTTCTTTCAACTCATTTTTTAAAATCGAAAATACCTCTTCTAGCCCTGGTTTTTTTCTTTTTTTGGTTTTTTCTTTTTTTTGTGTTACTGGGGCTTGAACTCAGGTCCTACATCTTGAGCCACTCCACCAGCCCTTTTTTGTGATGGATTTTTTTGAGATAGGGGCTCACAGAACTATTTGCTCAGGGATCCTCCTGATCTCTGCCTCCTGAGTAACTAGGATCACAGGCATGAGCCACTGGCATCTGGCTGTAGCTCTGCTTTAAACAATAACTAATGGCTACGAAATCACATGAATGATGTATGCTAAGTACATATAAAATATATGCATAGCTATTAAAAGTAAAAATGGAAAGAATTTATGGAATTCAGAGCTGTAATAATTTGTTACATGGGTGGACCTTCTTTGGATCTTCATTTGAGAAAGTAGTGAAAAAGAACATTTGTGAAACAATTAGAAATACATGAGCATTCACTGAATACTTGATATTAAGATACGTTAATCTTTTTAGTTGTGATTATGGCATGGTTAACCTTTAAAAAATTCTTTTAGAGGTCCTTATTAAAATAATTCATGAATAAACTGTCTAGGATATGATTCAAAATAATGGCAGGGATGGTTAGGGGTATGGATAAAATTAGGTGATGGATTTTTATTATGCTGTTTTTTTCTACTTTTATATGTGTTTGAGGTTTTCCATATTAAAAAGCTTTTTAAAAAATGAAAAAGTTTCTTTATATATAACCTGAAAGTCATTTCTCATTATCACCAGTAGGATACATATCATATTTAGGAAAACCATAGTCTATGGAATGATAGATTGAAATGATTTTGACAAATTGTTTTCCTTGAATTTATGGTCCTCAGACTCTTGAGAGTTTGATGAAACTATGGTTTTACTCTCTAGGAAAAAAAATACATATACATGCAGACTTTTGAGTAAATTTGTTTTATGAAATCTCAAAGTCTTCCATAATTATTGTAGGATAGTGATTACCTAAATGAGGTACCCTGGTCAGAAGCACCAGCATCCAAGACTGTGTCAAGCTTCATTTTTCTTAGCCATGTCTCTCAAAGAGCAGAAGTTTTAAATTTCATTGAGATCCAATTTATTAATTTTTCAATTTGTGACTTTTGTTTTATCTGAGAAATCTTTAAAAGCCAAAATTACAAAAATTTTAAATCCTGTTTCCTTGTAGAAATTTTGTTTTATGTTTTACATTTAAGTATGTAATTCATCTTTCATTGATTTTTGCATATGGTGTTGAGGTATGGGTTAAAGTTTATTTAACATACAAATGTCCAGTTCTGGTACTATATTTGTTCAAAGCAAAAAAAAAAAAAATCTCCCTATTGCAGGTCATTATACCACTGGGCATTATGCTTGCTACTTGCTACTAGTTTTTAAAACTTACATGTAAAGCTATTTTAGTGAGTTGACACAATGTTCATTATATTCAGCTTCTCTGTTGATTAAAAGTCAGAAATAGCTATCACAGTAGTATACTAAATTATAGAAAGAGAAAACTCAAAAGATTGTGTTTCTAATAGTTTTTGCTTTCTCCCTGTTTTAGGAATGATAGAAACAGCACAAGTGGATGAGAGGGCAAAAGGCAATGGCTCCAGTCAACCAGGAGCTGCAAGGCGAGGTGTACAGATTATTGATGATGAACCTCAAGCCCAGAGCAGTGGTGGAGGGTGCTGTTCTTCTGGATAAGTGTTGACTCCTAAGAAATTAAAAAAACTGTGGATCATTACCCTCAACATGAAGACTGCCATATTCCAAGTCACATTATTTTACCAATGGAGTTATAGAATTAACAGTATTTTAAATTACATTTGTAACACTGCAGAGACCTTAAGTGCTAAACTTAGTGGAGTTTGTGACCAGAGAATTGGCATTTTCTACAAATGTTAACAAAGCAATTACCAATGGCCTTTTTACATATTTTTTTCTTTAATGAGGAATAATATGCATGTAGAAAAGACCTACTTAAAGGCTTCATTTATATTCTTTTAAATCAGATCTTTATTTAATAACTTATGTATGTTGTTGGTATGGTATACATTTTTGCAGCCCTTTGTATTTTGTGGTAGTTTGAATTGTATCACTTCTAAACGGCAAACTGTTTCTGTTTTTGTTTTTGATTAGCAGATACCTGAAGTACTATTTTTGCAGGGTTTGCACAGGCTCCTAACTGTCTACTACTTTGATATAATCTATACACAATCCTGTATGCTGAGCTGGTAAAATACATTGTAAATTACATATTAAATATTTTATCTGCTTTTACAAGCGCAAGGTGCAAAAATGTATCAATAGTTTTATTGATGACTGTCAAGTGAATTAACATTTGGTGATAATGCCTAAGCTTTTTGACTCTGTTAAAAGATAAAGATCATCACTCCCCTTTACTTTTGTCTTAACTTGAAAATGGCGTGTTTAAATTTTCATACATATTTTACTTGAATTACTGCTGTTGTCCCATTTTTTGCTTCTGTAAGTCCATACAATAATTGAACAGCAGCATTTGCCTTTTGGTGTGGGTTCTTTTTGTTTGTTTTTTAATTATTATTAAAACAAAGATGACTTCTGATTGGAATGGTTACCTTAGAAGAATTTGAGTGGAGCATGCTGAGTTTCACCTTTGCAAAGCTTTAGTTTTCTTTTAGGCTTTTTAAGAGATGGGTTCACTGGTGTGAAAAAAGAGAAAAAGGTCCCCAGATGGTAGCCATTCACCAAGAAACAGTTCGTATGGCTTGTTAATGTTACTTTATACTCCTGAGGCAGCACTTGGAGATCCCTTGGGAGCAAGTTGTATTGGTCATTGCTTGTCAGAAATGAACACAGAAAGTTCTGTTTCATTTTACAAGAGCTATCCTTCTGAGTTTCTCTGGAGGAAGCATTTCATATACAGTTATAGTGAACACTGGAAAGATTTATTATAAAATTATTTTCTTGTGTACTTTGTAAATTAGTCCCTCATTAGATTTTATTTCTTTACTATTGGGCTGAAATTTGTTAATTTTAGTAGAATCAAGCACTGCTCACAGAAAGAACACAGATTGTGAAAATTAACATAATTTGTTCTTGTTCTAACATATATACATTTTTCCATTTCTGTCATGCTTGGAAAACTAGTAAATGTTATGTCTAAGATAAAATGGAATGGTCCCTGGATTTACTTCTTATAAGAAGCAGTAGTATGTAATAAAGGTGTTAGCATGATCGATTATAAGGTTATAGTTACTGAAGAAAAACTACCATGTTTTTAAGTTAATAACTTAAACGTTCCTAAATGAGTTAAAAGTTGAATGACTGAACACTTTGATGTTTGTGTTCCGTGAGCTCTCACTTTATATTTAATTATTGTCCTTGCCAAACTCAATACACTTGACTTCTCTGTTAAGTGTATTTGAGGATGATCAGAATGGAAAGTCAAGGAGATCAGCTGATATTGTCTTCTTTTATGGGATGAAAAGAGACTTTGTCTAGTCTCTTGGTTTCCTGTGAAGTTAGTGTTATGTGGGGTTGAAAGGGGCAGTGAGAATTGTGAGTCACAGGAAAATTTATTTTTGCCCTTCTGGTTCTTTTAGAAGGAGTAAAGAAAGCTGCCATTCTTACTGTTATATATAGGTGGGAAATAAGCTCTTCTTATGGAATAGAATATGGTTTTAAACTAGAGATGAATGGACTTTGTTCCAAAAAATGTTGTAAAACCTGGTAGTTGGAGACTACTTCAGTTCTTTTAATTGTATAAATTCCAGATAGGAATTTTGCTCCAGAGTTGCTGGATAGTTATCAGTAGGTGATAAACTTCTTTTTTTTTTTTTTTCATTACTTTCCCTTGGTTTCTCTGTATTTTTCTTAATCTCAAGCATTTCATTCTTTTTTTTTTTAAATCTGTAATTCAGGCTAATTCAGTAGCAACAGTAGGTAATATGGTATACCCATTGTATTGAAGTACAGAAGGTCTTTAAGTAGGAATGCGGGTAAAAGAATAATGAAAGAGGATCAGTGAAGGTGAACTGTAGTTTATACACAGAGGGAAGATAAATAGAAGATAGAGCAAGGCTGGGGAAGTTTTTCTGATGCTTTCTATATCTCTCTAATGTGTCTTTTGTGTTCCTGTCCTAATAATTGTGGTATTAGGAAGAAGACATAAGTTAGGTGTTGTGTATTAAAGTAGTAGATAGGTAGAACTAATATTTTTTCAACTAGTAAGTATGTAAATTTAATGTTCATAATTTAAAATTGGTTTAAGATAGTCATTAACAATACCTTTATTATGTTAAAAGTTTACAGTCATTGTTTCTGTAATGATTATGGGATTCTTACTTTGGTTTGTGAGTACAGAGAAGATTATTGTTTTAAAAAAAAGTGTACACTAGCCGGGTGCCAGTTGCTCCTGCCTATAATCCTAGCTACTCAGGAGGCAGAGATCAGAAGGATCACAGTTTGAAAGACCCTATCTCAAACCTTTCACAAAACAGGGCTGGTGGAGTGGCTCAAGTTATAGGTCCTGAATTCAAACCCCAGTACCACAAAAAAACAAAAACACAAAGTAATCTGAAATGAAAAAGCATCAAACTATTGTATGCAATATGAATGTTTGAATTTGTTTTGTCTGGGGGTATCTCCTGAGAATAATCCTACAGTTATGGCTATTACTGCATTGAAATCTTTAAAAAAATATTAGCCAAATATTATTAATGGAGTTATTTTTCTTTGATATTAAAGAAGAATAATACTTCATTTTTAGGTTTTATCTTTTAGTAATAAATGATACAGTTGGGAAAATAAAAAGAGTTGGTGAGGAGGAATACAATGAAAGTCAAATAGAAAAAAAATGCAATCTGACAATGTCAAAAATCACTTTGAAAAAATATGTTGCTTTTATTAAATAGTTTCAAAATAAGTCAAGATATGCATTGTACCAAGTATTAGAACATTTTTTTAAAAGTAGATTGTAATACTGTTTCTTTTAATATATAATTTATGTATTGTAAGTGCTACCAGGAGTCTATATCATTGCTCTTATATTATCTCCTGATAATAATAATTTATCCTTTTAATCACTACTTACATTATCTCTAGAAGTAGTTTGATCTTTGCTTTTAACTTTCAAAACTTGTCTTTTGGCTTCTGTTTGTCATTGTAGAGTTTTTAGTTTTCTTTATAGATACAATGTAATAAAAGGAATACATAATTTGTGACCATTTAGGATGTTGATGTTGAGATCTTAGAAAAGGATGTAGACAGTAATGACCAACATAAAAACACATTAATAGAGACTGAATAGATCTTAAGTACTCTACTGACTTACAAAATGCCATACTCAGATTTTAATAAGAGTTGGGATTACTCTTTTTTTTTTTTTTTTGGCAGTACTGGGGCTTGAACTAATGGCCTCATGCTTACTAGGCAGGCACTTTACCACTTGAGCCACTCTGCCAACCTCAAGAGTTGAGATTCATTAAACTACATGCACTTGATTTTATAGGCTCAATTCTAGCATGTTGTTATTCTGTTATTTTTACCCTGTCGTGCACCAGAAATGCTACATATAACTTGGCTTTGATAGTCTTTCTCTTTAAGAAAACAGTTTTTAATTATAATTTTGAACAAATTTTTTGTAACCGTAAGTATTGTCGCATACCATGAAACTCTTAAGAGTTTCCAATCTCAAGCAGAAATACTTCTAAACAAGTACTTTAACTTGATAGACCTTTCCACTGCTTGTGCTATCCAGGATATAAGTATTGTCCCTTTTCTGAAAACCCTGTGCTTTTGCGTGTTGTCTTTTCTACTGTGTCATTTCTTGCATTGCATGCTGTTAAACAGCACATCCAGTAAAGCTGCTATTTTTACAGCATCTTGCCCTCTTTAGAAGCCTTGCACATATTTCTAAATGCATTGTATACTAAAGCTACAAATTGGAGACGGGGTTGGGTTGTCTATTTAAATGGCCTTTATTTCCAGTGTACCAGTTCCCATTCTTCATTTTGATACTTCTGACAACTGTATAATTTCTTTGTTATCAGATACTTAAGAAAAAGGTAATATGATTTCCTTAAATATGAACATGGGTAGAACATGAGAGAAAGGTGAAAAACAGCAAAGATAAAATTATGGTAATATTGAAAAAGGCCAACAGTGGGATATGCTAGCTTTTGTAGCTAGCTATTTTAATGAAACCATCATGTGTAGTACTTCTTAAAAATGTAAAAAACTCATTTTGTCTTATGTAAGTAGGAATACATTTTAGGAAAAATAATTTAAAAAAACAGAGATATTGTCAAAGTGCCCCTTGGTGTCCTTGTATTTACATCCATATATATTTACTTGTAAAAAATACAGTCTTGTGGGATTTAAATTTTTTTATAAGTTGTCTTACTATGTATATGTTTTGTAACTTGCTTTTTTCCCTAACCAATATGTCTAGGAGCTCTTACTTCAGTAGATAACCTACATTTTCATTTTTTTTTTTAAAAAGCTCCTTGCTCTTCATGAAATTCTCCAAAAGGAATATCATAAGTTAGGTGGATTGCATTAAAAACATAGAATTTAAGTCGAAGCCAGTGCCAAAATCAGGGTCTCCCTTAAGCACATTGTGAATCAGTAAACTAGAAGGTAACTGCTTACAATTCATTTGAATTTCTTTCCTTTTGGCCTATGTTTTACTGATTGGTTTACAAAATATAGGAGGTAACTTTAGCACATTCTTTATTCAGTATGTTTTATTCGAGGGGGGAAAGGTAAAAGGAAAAGTGTAGTTCATGGGGAAGAGTACAGAGTAAGATAAAATAAGTCTATACAATGAAACATAGGACTTCATGCTACCAGAAATTCAAACTTACTTTGATTCATGCTATTAATGTAAAGTAAAAGACAAAAGTCTTTTTTTAAGCTTCACTTTTTCCACTATCGCATTTCCCTTTTTAGAGGTAATTGTTGTTGACAATTTGGTCTGTTTATGTATCTCTTATGTATAGGTTTGTAAATTTATATTTGACCTTATAAATTTTTCATTTCCTGAATGCAGTTTCTACCCTAACTCAAATTCCATCTTCAACTGACCAGCTTACCATGAACAAACTAGAATTCGGTTTTAAAAGTTAATGGTGACAGTTCTGGAAGTAGAAGCTTGCTTACTTGACTTAATGATGTGTTAGGTTTATCAGAAGTCAAGCTTTAATAGTAACTAGTATTTTGGGAAGGTAAAACCAAACTCCTGTTTTCTCTCCACTATGGGAATAGGGTTGGTTGGAAAAGACAAGTGTAAGTATAAGCTCCTTAATACCTATTAATTTTAGGTTGGGTTTGTTCATCCTATTTGGGAAGCATTGCAGTGTCCAACAGTTACTTGACTGGTGCATCTACACTGTTAAGCCTATTTCTTAGCATGAGTGTTACTACACAAGATTAAATGTGTGTGTTCCAAGCCTGGTGCAGGTGACTTGTGCCTGTAATCCTAGCTAGTCAGAGGTCAGGATTGTGGTAAGAAGCCAGCTGGGGCAAATAGTTGATGAGATCCTATCTGGAAAAAAACCCATCACAAAAAATAGGGCCGGTGGGGTGGCTCAAGGTGAAGGCCCAGAGTTCACACCCCAGTACTGCAAAAAAAAAAAAAAGTATGTGTTTCAGAATAAACAAATTTACTTATGTTTGTCTTTTAATGTGTTGGATGGGGGTAAATTTTGGGATTTATGAAAGTTCTTACAGTGTAGAAGAACTCCCCCATTCCTGGAGTAGTTTCAACAGGTATCATTTTTACATTTGCATATGTGTACACACTACCTGCACCATATTCATCCTCATGCACACTTTCCCTGCCACTACCCCCCTCCCATTGGTACCAACCCTCTCCTCCCCCCACAGGACCTGTTACACCCTCCTGCTATCCAATTTTGTAGAAGGAAAAGCAACATTTTTGCATAAGGTAGCTACACAGGGAGTTTCCTTGTGACATTTCCATGTATATATGTGTTATAGCCTGAATTGGTTCATCTCTATTTTTCTTCATTCTACCTTAGTCCCTTGTGGTGGTTTCAGCTGGTTTAAAAGTTTTATATTCATTCTTGTATAGAGAGTAATCAACCATATTGACCTTAATTTCCTGCTTTTACCCTACCCCTTTGTGTCCTCCCCTTAGTGTGACCTGTTTTGCATAACACTGCGTACTTGTATTAGGTCTGTGTTCCACATGAGAGAAAACGTGTAGCTTTTGGCTAACTTAAGATGATCTCCAGTTCCATCTATTTACCTGCAAATGATGAAATTTTATTCTGTTTTGTGGCTGAAGAAAATTCCAGTGTATATATCACATTTTCTTAATACATTCATCAGTAGTGGTCATCTTGGCTGTTTCCATAGCTTAGCTATTGTGAATAATGCTTCAGTAATTATGGGTGTGCAGGTGCTTTTGTTATAACCTGACTCAAATTCCTTTGGGTATATCCCTAGGAATGGTATTGCTGTATAATTTGGCAGTTCTATTTTTAGTTTTTTGAGGAGCCTCCATACTGTTTGCCATAGTGGTTGTACTAATTTACATTCCCACCAGCAGTGTATGATGGTTCCTTTTTTCCCCACATCCTTGCCAAATTTGTTGATGTTTGTGTTCTTGATGATAGCCATTCTAAACAGTTGGGAGGTGAAATCTTAACATGATTTTATTTTGCATTTCCTTTATGGCCAGGGATGTCAAGCATTTCTTCATATGTTTTTTGGTCATTTGGACTTCTTTTGAAAAAGCTCTGTCTGGCTCATTTGCCCATTTCTTCATTGGGCCATTGTTTTTTTTTTATCTTCCTGTATATTCTGGTTATTAATCC